TGATGGCAAAGAGTAAGGAAAATGTCAGCGAGATATTGAGGTCGGTCAATACCGCCGAGGCCCGAGAGATCCAGAGAGCGGTCGACGAGTGTGTTAAGTTCCAACTGACTAAGANAACAACGACGATGACGTCGTCCCTACCTATGACAACAATGGCGACATGGATGGCGCGCTTCCCCAGGATGCGAGAAAGGTGGCCGATCAGCGCCGAGCGTTTGCCACCATGATGGCAAAGAGTAAGGAAAATGTCAGCGAGATATTGAGGTCGGTCAACACCGCCGAGGCCCTAGAGATCCAGAGAGCGGTCGACGAGTGTGTTAAGTTCCAACTGACTAAGAGGCTAGGCATGCTCGACGGTACTGCAATAGGTCCCGGCAATCCAGAGATGGCCCCTAAGAAGGGGAGGCCGAAGGGTTCAACAAAGCAGGCTACCGGTACCATCGGCCAAAGTAAAGCTAGAAGCAGAAACCCTGAGGGACAGATGGGCACAACTCTTAAAAAGACAAGGTTCAGGGATTCGTACGGGCCTGGGTCTGGACGTGGGAGGAGAGCGAGGGGGGATGGACAATCGGCGAGTGGAAACGCCTCGTAGACCTGAGTATGCTCGCGGCCGGTGTGCGGATGGCGACGATGGACTTCGGCTTACCTCGCCCAGTGTCGCGACGTTGGTACACTAAGTTCGTTTCGCAATACGAGTATCGTCTTGTGGGCGGTCATGTGGTCCCCCTTAGGGTTGTGCCATCGTCTGCGTCTTGTGTTCCATTCATATCCAAATGTCTTGTGGGAGGTTTCACGTCGCCGTGTGCGGGGCCAAGTGTTGGGCATAGGCAAAGTTTGGGTCTAAGTTTAGGGCGGGGTTAGACGGAAAAGGTATAAACGCCTGGGGGAGATAGAACGTGAGACCTCACCAACACTACCACAACTGCAGTTTAACCAACGCTAACCGGAAACTACATTACGTTCGGCACTGGCAGTTGCTTCTCAAGTGCTNTACGACTAAAAAGATACGACCCCTGCCTAACCCAACCCAACATCTCGCAGACGTCGAAGCATTGTGCGCAGCGAGCTCTGACATTAAAAGTCCTACGTTGGGACAACCCCTCTTCGGTTCGCCGTGCCCCCTTGCGAGGGTGTATCTCGGCAACCACGTGCCGGTCGAGGCGATGTGATGGCTTGAATGAAAGCTGGGAGCCGTGGCATGACTGCGGTAGTTGTTTGCGGCTGCGGGCGAGACGCTTGGGAGACGATGTGGGGTGTTGTCCCAAATTTGGAATTTGGGACAACCCCTGTTGGGGTCGCCGTGCCCCCTTGCGAGGGTGTATCTCGGCAACCACGTGCCGGTCGAGGCGATGTGATGGCTTGAATGAAAGCTGGGAGCCGTGGCATGACTGCGGTAGTTGTTTGCGGCTGCGGGCGAGACGCTTGGGAGACGATGTGGGGTGTTGTCCCAAATTTGGAATTTGGGACAACCCCTGTTGGGGTCGCCGTGCCCCCTTGCGAGGGTGTATCTCGGCAACCACGTGCCGGTCGAGGCGATGTGATGGCTTGAATGAAAGCTGGGAGCCGTGGCATGACTGCGGTAGTTGTTGCGGCTGCCGGCGAGACGCTTGGGAGACGATGTGGGGGGTATTGTCCCAGATTGGAATTTGGGACAGGGGTCGCCGTGCCCCCTTGCGAGGGTGTATCTCGGCAACCACATGTCGGTCGAGGCGATGTGA